TGCGACAGAATCAGCTCTCAACTGCTTATCTGAGCTTATCAGTCGATGCCTGGTTGAAGTAGCTGAGAGAAGAAATTTCGATGGGAGTGTCTATACCTGCAAGGTGCATGACATGGTTCGAGATTTGACAATTAAAATAGCAAGAGAAGAAGATTTCTGCAGTTTCGATGGAAATGGAAAGCATATTGCTAATGCTGGCTCTCGTAGACTTGGAGTCACAAAAGAGACAAAGTTCCAGACCCTCCGAGGAAACTCAAAGCTCAGGGCATTACTTTTAACCGCAACCGATTACATCGGTTTCAATAGTAATATTGAATTGGCTAACGTCAAGTCTCTCCGGGTACTGGACTTCTCACATGTCAAACTAGACAGCATTTGTATGAAAGATCTCTGGCATTGGATCACTTCCCTTACACGCCTAGCTTATTTGAGCCTCAGGTATGTTGCACAATTGTCAGAAATCCCAAACTCAGTCGGTAAACTATGGGGCCTTCAAGTTCTGATTCTGGGAGAATGTAAGGATCTCAAAAATCTTCCCCCATCAATTGTTAACCTTCCAAGATTAATTATCTTGGATGTTGGCAACTGCCCAAATCTTCAGTGTCTACCACAAGGATTTTCGAGACTTTCCAAACTCCAGGAGCTATACGGATTTAAGATAGCTGGCACTGGCAATGCTGCAGGTTCCCACCTTGGAGAGCTGAAGGCTTTGACTGAACTTCGAGTCCTGCAGATGGACATAACTGAAGAAAGCACAATCAATGATCAGGAATTGGAGATCTTAGCACAGCTAGAGAAACTAAAGATTTTGTCGATCAATGCAGGTGATTGCGAAGACGAGGACATTTTAAGCAAATTGAATAAATTGTCACCCCCTTCTTCCATTGAGGAATTGTATCTGAAGCATTATGTTGGAGAAACTACACCAGGATGGATTAATCCGAAGTCACTTCGACAACTGCAGTATCTTTGTATGGAGGACTCTAGAATAAATAAGATGAACCAAGATTTTTGGGGAGATGAAGAACATAAATGGGATGTCAAAGGGTTGTGTTTAAAGTTCTGCCAAAGGCTTGAGGTGTCATGGGAAGAATTGCAAGCAGTGATGCCTGAGATCAGACACCTGGAGGTCAGCCAATGCAACCTACTGGTCTCATTTCCTTGTGATGTTAAGTCTGTGGGGTTCTGGTGCAAGGGCGAAAAGAAAAAAGATGTGCGTCGGAGGATGTTTTCAGTCAAGAAGATTGAAAGCAGCTAGATGACATGGTCTGATCTTTGGAAAGCATTTTCAAGTTTGAAGTTATCTGTATCCTTCTGTTTGGACAATATGTTGCGGTATTTGTTAGTGATTTGGAGGTGTATTTGTACTTGCTGAACTTTACTTGTTGGTACTCTTTTCTCTTCCACTTTGATCATGTAAGCCTAATTTGGTGCTTTCAACTCTGTCATAGCACTATAAATGTAAAGGTAGAGATATCAACTATTTCTACTCTCACTCATCTATGCACAACATTTTAATGTTTTTCTTGTATTATCCAAAAGAAGATGATTTACTACAATTCTAGCAATTAATAATGCCTGCCAATGCACTTAAGCCATAAGTTTTCTTATTAAGGCCTATTTAGATACTTATGATTTGGAAATCTGTATTTTAACTCTTCATGATTTGAATTAAAGTAAAATGTAAGTTATCTATTATGTTAAATAGTCATAAAAATGGGGGAGGGACGGGTTGGATAGCAAGGTGGAAGGAGTATAAATAAGAGGTCTCGAATTCGAGACATCTTATTTATACTAAAACAAAAGAAGATCATAAAGGTCAAATAAGACATTCTCTTATTATGACGCACTAAATTGTAGGGGAAAAATAGTATATATGTATTATAGAAACACTAGTGATAGAAAAGAAGCATAAATCAAAGGCAATCAAAAGTATTATACAATCATAATCACTAGCAATCAAAAAGAAGCATAAATCATAAATAGAAGCGAGCAAATTGGAGGGCTAGTTTTTTTTATCTTCCAACATGATTCAAAACTTTGAAATATGTGAAGCATACTACCTTCTCATCAGAAAATTTTATACAGAAACTCCCTACCCAAAACTACATGAAATGGCCATAGGATTATTGCAAAGACTCAAGTTTTCATTTCAAGGAAAAAAAAAATCAAAATCACTAATTTAGGAAGGTGTGGATACAAAAGCTTCATCCGTTCCCATCAAAGGCGTGTTATCTTTAAGCTTTCACAAGGTCACGCTTTGACCTTCACAGTGGGCCTTTCTCATTTGTCTTGTCTGGGTGTCTGGGCCCGGATTGAAGTTTTGCTCTAACCTATGAATTACGAAAACCGAAACACAATTTCAAAGGCCATGAACAAGTTTTGAATCTTGATTTCTTTTTTACTTAATTCTATAAATTTGACCAATTTCTAAATTTTTCCAGCAATTAACAACGCCAATAAGAAAACACACGCAACCTACAGTGAACGACAACAAGATTCTTCAACAAATTACTAGTTGAACCCAGAGAAAATACACATTGAAAAGCAAAAATCTTCTACTAGTAATTTCTTGATTTGCCTCAGAAAATGGCAAACTCTTCTTGCTCACATTGGTGGCATTGCCCTTTCTACTTTTGCATGTCTGTGGTTCTTGCGTTTCTGGCAATCACAACAAACCTGCACGAAGACATTTTTCAAGAAATTCGGGTTGGTACCATCTCTAGAGACCTTGTAGTATCTATTTTAATTTGAATTTTGCTTATACTGCAGTTAATCTAATTCTTAACCTACTTTGAAGGTGTCCCACTCGGACATACAATGCTAAAACGCCGCTACATTGCTGCTGCTGGTTGGAAGCTTGTGTCCGTGCCGCACCAAGAAGTGAGTAATCTACTTAGTTACTAATTCTTCTTCATTTTCTTGGTGTGCATTAAAAAATGTCTTATTCAATGATCTAGAATGAGTTGACCCAAGAGATTCATACAACCAAACGATAACCAGTCTCTGTATCTCCGCCTCGTTTCATACTACCCTCCTTGCACCACAATTTACTGTCCAAAGAGGAAAAAAAAAAGATGCAGATGAAAATTCTGGCATTGGTTTCCTTTCCTGAGACTTTTTTAGCATTCCTAGGTTATCATCTCTATGATGTCCGTATGTCATACCTGTTGTTGGCTAAGTGACCAACTATTAGGAGTCGAGACTTTTCTCTGAAAGCTTCTTTACATTCCAATTCAGAAAAATACTTTGAATGCAAAGTAGTTTTTGGTAACAAGAGGAACTATATGGTTCAGGATACGCTGTTTTCTTTGCAATGCCTTGGAAATCAAGTACAAATTTCTATATGGACGTGAAGATGTTAGAATTGATAAACTTAAAATTTCACATCAAGCAAATGGTTCCTTCATATTACTGGATTGCCGTTGGCAGAAATTATTTTGGTGGTGATAGTTGAATGTTACTATACTATGTGACTGGATCTGTTTAATCTGTAAGTGGATGACTAGGCCAAAAAGTGTAGGAATTCTTCTATGGGTGTGGGAGAAGGCCCGAAGCCTTCAAGACAAATGTTTGGTTTGTCCCCCGAACACCTACCAGATAACAGAAGTTGCCTTCTGAAATGATAGGCACTGACAACCATATAGTAGTTTGAGGGGTATAGAAGAAAGCCATAAGAGCTATCTATTGGATTCCTGAGTCTAGAATACAATTGGTGTCATCAACTCACCTTTATGACTTTGATCTCTTTATCAACTATTTAATCCTATTGCTGTACCAAAAACATAATATTTCGGGACTCTTTTATTCAATGGTTGGTACATAAACAGTCTGTGAACTAAGCAGCAGAATTCCTGTATTGCCTCTAGTAATTTGTCAGTTTCAGAAAGCAAAAGGAAAGGGTAATAAACCCTTTTGTGTAGTACACTCTGGTGTGCAAATTGTGATCTTGTAGAATTTAGGTTGGATTTTGCAATATTTTTGCCTGTCTTCTTATTGTTATAATAAGGTTATGTGCATGAAATCTTCAGATGTATCACCAAATACGCATGAATTATATAAAAACGCTGATTTTGTACTTTGAGCAGTTGGTAAAGAAAAGTTTACTTCTAAATGATAGTTCCATGCTCTTTAACAATAGATTCATTTCAAAAGAATGACTTTTACACAAACACCATGGAAAAGATTCTGGAACTTTTCAGAATTTGCCATGGCGAAAGATTCTCCAATTTGAGACCACATAAGTGCCTTTAGATGGCAAATTATTAGTGTGCTCTGAGCTACGGTGCCGGTCATGTACTAGACAACAACCTTCATTCTCCACAAGCTTCATTAGTTTCAGTTTTCACTGGAATTTTGAAGCTTCCTTGTGATTTTGCGTGCTATACCTTTGTTTCCCGTCTTTGGAATCAGCAGTTGATTAAGAGAAAGTGTTATACGAACTGTTCTTAATTGTATGCCCTATAGTAGAGGGAGGTCAAATTTTCATTTGTACTTTCCCTCGTTTTCCAAAGTAGATGCATGCGAGTTTCAATCCCTCTTACTTTCTGTGGGCCATCTGCTGGGAGTTCCAGTTTAGTGATTTTTCACCCCGTGCTACAAATATGTATGAGGATACATTTGACTTAAAAAAAACCACTCCTAGTTCTTGGTGTTTTTCTGAATCCCTAATCCATGGCAGGACTCCCTAAACATATAGAAGCAACAAATGAAAACTTTTGACATGTAGCATTTATGTGGTGGTGGTGGTGTTGTTGCAGTGGGAAGAACTTCAGGGCGAATTCGAGCAGCTGGATTACCTAAGAAGAATCCTCGATTATCACATTTGTAAAGAGAGAGAGCATCACTCGGTCTGGTGAATTGGGTTAAAGTGTGTTAAAAGGTTTCCCTGGTCGAGGACAAATGAGTGTCACTCTTCACTTGAGTTAGCTGTTGCTGTTTCCGAGTACAGGTACATATGAAGATACAAGCTCAAAGACTCTTGTCCACGGGCTCCTGCTTTTGTTAAGGATTAAAACGACTCGTATGGAGGCCCACAATCTATTTGGATGAAAAATCAGCTCTTGTCTCGGTCACTTGTGTCCCAGGATGTGCCACCACCATTTAATCAGTAATTACAGAAGATTCTTGGGGCAGGAAAGTATCTGAGTTTTTATGCCATGTAAAAGAATCTTTTGCTTAGAACAATCTTCAGAGGTATCTCATCGTGTTGAGGAACTTGGAGACGGCCATGATCAAAGCTGCAAACCAAAGATGGACAAATATCCAAATAGAGCTGGAAAGCAAGAAGCTGATTAGCCAGCTACACTCAATGCTCATGTCATCAGGGAAGTCGACTAGCTACAATCATTGAAGACGTGCAGTCCCTTTGTACTTTGTTTTCACAGTGCTGCTCCTCCCCCATTAACATAGATGATGATAAGAATGTTCAAATGAGCAAATATGCTCTCAACATTTGGAGTGCTGAGGCACTCGAATAGATGATGCTAGGGCCTTTGTCCTTTTTGCTCGGACCGTTGTCCATGTACTGTACATTTTGACAGGCAATATTATTACAAGCTGTCGTTTCAAATGCAAATGCCACATGATTAGGATAGAGCAGGGTGGGTCTTGGCATGCAAATGCAAATTTGTTTAGGTGGTGAATTGGGCCTGGTGGATCAGATAAGAATCTCACACAAATGTTTTGCCAAATAAAATCTCATCGGTCGCTTGCATTGCATATTTGCATTGCATGAGAACAAAAACATTTGTTGACTGTTGATGAGGTTGTTCGTTGAATTTTAGTAATAAGACAATGAGACGACACAGCTGTACTGCATCCCCGCCTCTCGTGTCCGAATCTCAAAGTCAGAACCCCCAGGGCGGGGGCTCCGTTGTCTTAGTCACTTGTGTTTTTTCCTTTTCTATTCACCGGTTGTCTTAATCAATCAGTAGTATTTATGTATGTCAAGAGTATCATTCATTCATTAATAGTATTACAGTGGACGTGTGTGATCAAAGTTTACAAATCCAAATTTTACAAAGGGAAAATCGTTCAAAACGTCCCTCATATTTTGTAAAATAACTTTTTTCGTCCCTCACTTTTAAAAGTGTAATTTTATGTCCCTTACATATTCACATCGGTCAAATTTAGTCCCTAACTAGGTTTCGATCATTTTTGGCTGGAATCCACCACGTGCAAGGTACGTGATCATTTTTAAAGGGTAAATTTGTCAAATTATATTTTACATAATCTGATTTATAGTCCTCTACATTTTATAAAACAAATTTTTTCGTCCCTCACATCTTATAAAATAATTTTTTCATCCCTCGCAATTCACAAAATGAATTTCTCCATCCCCTCACATTTCAAAAAATGAATATTTCCATCCCTCACTAATTATGTATGTCAATTGCAATTTAGGAATTTTTATATTCATATCAATTGCAATTTAGATGATATGTCCTGATTTTCAATAATTTTTTTTTTTATAAATGGACTCTAATTTCAGTTTCAATTTCAATTCTTACAAACGCATTTGCATTTGTATAGACATTACAGTGTCAATGTACAGGATTAATTCAAGGCAAAAATAATAAATAAAAAACCAAAAAAGGAGTTTTGTAGCGAGCGTACTTGGGCCGGTGCAGCATTCTTGTTTTTGTTCACACTAATAAAAATCAGAACAGCAAAAGTCTGTATCCGTTCTCATCGTTCCCATTCTCACTCACGCTCTCAACTTCCCACTCCGCTTGGATTATCTACCAAATTTCTCTCGCAGGTATATGAATAAATGGATTCCACAAAAAAAAAAAAAAAAGGTGTCTGTTTTCTTTATCTTTTTTCCGTGATCCCATCTCCTTTATCAGCAGATTGTATTGTTCATTCAGATTAATTGCTACTGCTTTGTGTTTGCTTCTAGTTCGTACTCGTACCTGTGAATTTGGGAACTTGTTCCATGTCGATTCATTTCATTCATCTCTCTCCCTGTTTTCTGTCATAAATGCTGCTGCTGCTAGTATTGCATTCTTGGTGCAGATCGGATCTGATCGAAATTTTTGGTTTATTTTTTTTTAAAAAAAAGTTTATGTCTTTCTGGGTTTTCTTTTGGATTGTTCGTTCACTCATTGCTGAAAGCCAGAGCATTCTTCAGTGTCTGATATGTTCTCCCTGTTTGTATTCTCTTTTTCTTTTTTATGGCTTCTTTTTTCTTTTGGTGGTTGTTAAATGTTTTCTTTCATTTCTGCTTCTTTATGCTCTTTTTATAGTGAATATTATTAGTACCATCTGCCAAATACCGTAGCTTTAACGCCCATCGTTTGCTCATTGCTTTTCCTTGCTCTGTTGCTTTGTCTCCGGAGGATTTCCTTTTCCATTGGCGTCTGTCTTAGTTAAGACACTACCACTGTAATTTGTAAAATGAGTGTTAATCAGGTTTATTACTCTGATCTTGGGGGTGGGGATGAAACTCTGCTTCAGCTTCTCCTCTACAGCCTATACTGCCACCCCTTAACTATTACTCATTCATTCTTTTTCAAGGGTTAGCATGGTAGTTGCTCGTCTCTTTTTATTCATGCTGCTGGAATTTTCTCTTACAAACTTTTACCAAATGTAATTTTTACCTTAACCTATTATTGATTTTTTTTTGGTTTACTTCTTTTGCGACTCAATATGGAGACAAAACTTGAGTGAGTGCTAGCTAAAGTAGTCTCATCGAAACTGGTTGCTCATAATATCCTTTTCTTCCCGTACTTGTATAGCTTCAGCTACTTTGTTTTTTTCAAGTTGCCTAGAGTAGTTCCTGTATATTGTATTAATTTGTTCAAACTTTAGAGCTTGGATTATCAATTTATACTGTAAGTTGCTTTCTTTCTTTTTTTTTGTGCTTACTTTTCTGCTTTATCATTCTTCTTTACTATTCTTCTATCAAGGCATGGCATCTTCTGATAACCCAGAGATAGTTGAGAGGGCCATCAAGGAGAAAGAGGAAAAAGAAGACAAAAAAGATGAACAAAAGGGCGGATTTCTTGAGAAAGTGAAGGATTTCATTCAGGATATTGGAGAGAAGATTGAAGAAACCATTGGATTTGGGAAACCCACTGCGGATGTCACAGGAATTCACATCCCTTCCATCAATCTTGAAAAAGCAGATATTGTTGTTGACGTGCTTGTTAAAAACCCAAATCCCATTCCAATCCCTCTTGTTGATATCAATTACTTGGTTGAGAGTGAAGGGAGGAAATTAGTATCTGGGCTGATCCCAGATGCTGGAACTCTCCATGCACATGGTTCCGAGACTGTCAAGATACCACTTACTTTGATATATGATGACATTAAAAGCACCTATGACGATATCAAGCCTGGCAGTATTATTCCTTATAGGATCAAGGTTGATCTCATAGTGGATGTGCCTGTTCTTGGCAGGCTAACTTTGCCACTTGAGAAGACTGGAGAGATTCCCATACCATATAAGCCAGATGTTGATCTTGAGAAAATTCGTTTTCAGAGATTTTCTTTTGAAGAAACTGTTGCTCTACTGCATCTGAAGATTGAGAACAAAAATGATTTTGAGTTGGGGCTCAATACACTTGACTATGAGGTTTGGCTGTCTGATGTGAGCATTGGGGGTGCAGAACTCCAAAAATCAGCTAAAATTGATAAAAATGGGATGAGCTATGTTGATATTCCCATTACCTTCAGGCCAAAGGACTTTGGATCTGCTGTTTGGGACATGATTAGAGGAAAAGGCACTGGCTACACCATCAAAGGCCACATAAATGTGGATACGCCTTTTGGAGCTATGAAGTTACCCATCAGCAAAGAGGGTGGTACCACTCGCTTCAAGAAGAACAAGGAAGATGGAGGCGACGATGACGATGATGAGGTTTGTGGGTTCTTAGTGTTTGTTTGTCTTTTGGTGTGTCTTTTTCTTCCTTTCAATGTTGTTCAGGCTTTTTCATCTTTTAACTTCATTTCTGTGATGATACAGTAATGTATTTTTCATCTTTTAATCAGTCTGAGTTATACCGTGGGAATTGACCTGCAAACTCTGTATTTGCGTAATGTTGAAAATATTGACTTGACCAAATTATTGCTGGTGATAGATTCAGAAAGTATTTAATGCATATATTGAACAAAATGTGGGGTATTTATGTAAATATATGTTGTCATCGATATTGGGTACTACCCAAGTTTCATTTTTGAGATAGGCTAACTAGAATGCTGGAATTGATGGTTAGTGATAATTTAGAAGAGCTAGCTAGTTGGATGCTAATTGAAGATGTAAGTTCTCGAGTACATCTCTATTGCAACCCTTGAGATGCATAGCTCTCACGTGTTCTAGTGAGCAGTCAATGATTAGGCTTTGGTTTTTGGAACCACATGTTGCGAGTTCATACAGATTTTCCTCCTCTTAGCAAACCACTAATGAAGTCCTCTGAACTTTCACAATTAGTACATTCGATAGTCTGAATTCCGAAAGATTGAATTCTTAGATGCTGAGTGGGATACATATTTATCTAATGCATAATTTCACGAACATGTCTTTAGGAACTGTGGTTAAGGTGAATTCTCAGTATGTTGGGAACATAAATGAATGACAACGAAACAAGGATAACGCTTTTTATTTTTACAGTGATTTTATTCTACAACATGACATTAAACATATCCATGACTGTGTAGCTAATTGAGATCTTTCTGATAACCTTTGAATGAACAAGCATTCATCACTTTTTGTGCTTATAGCATACTGCTGCAGGGGACAGAAATGTGTTGCTTTTTTGCCAGAATCATTTGAATGCCCTTGAGTTATATATGTTGGTTTTGAACTTAACATATTATTGCCCCACCTAATATAGCTGGGGCAGTGAAATATCTTGTTGTTGGACTTTTTGCAAATGTTGGCTGAGGAAAAAGCGCATTGGTTTCAGAAGTCATTCCCCCCCCCCCAAAAAAAAACGCCCCACCCCTTTCCCTTTAAGAGTTCCCAATGGTCCCTCGCATCGAAATATTGTTAACAAA